CATCCGGTAATGAATCAATTGGGGAGAAATCCTCTGACACTCGAGTCACTACTAGGCGCTTTCCATGATACCAGAGGTGCTTGTTCTTACTAGCATTCATAACTCTGTTAACGTGAACAACGAAATTTAGTTGTTGAACGTTATAGCAAGCAGAATCACGCGCGAAAAAATTTCACAGGAAAACTTACAAAATTCCATCGCTTCCAACTCGCCAAATTTTGTTGTTTGATTTTTCAATGAAAATAGAAAAAAACAGAGTGTAAAAAACTTGGAAAATTTATGTCAAGGAATTCCGACAAAAAAGGTCTCAATAAAAAAAGTAGTGTAGAAAAATGAAATTCCACTGATTTTTCAATAAAACAGTTTCTGTCGGACATTTTCTGTTAAAAAACGCGCAGTCAAGTTCAATAGAAATCCAATAGAAATAACTATTTTTTCGTGCGTGATTGATTCCGTCGATTTCATCGATTTATTTTATTATCCTTACTTCAATGCTTCATCTTCACTTGAAAACGTTATTCGCGCAAAGTTATCAAAATTATCATAATAGCATGAATCCGTCCTAAGATAGAAGCTCACGATTTTTCCATAGTTTGAGAGGATTCTGTCCAACGGCTTCTGCTCTACCTGATAATTAAGTTGTGAAAGAAAATTTAATGGACGCAGTGAGAGGAGCAGCCTGGATTTTCTTGGATTGCATAAAGCTTCAAGAAGATCCGCTCTGCACGCACGAAAAAATTTAATAGAAAAACCTATCGAATTCGATTTTTCTATATAACTTATTCTTTTCATATATTTTCTATAGAATTTGCTCGACTCAAATTTTCTAAGTTTTTTTCATTCTATTTTTCTTTTCGTCTCATCAAGAAAATCAAACGAAAAAACTTGGAAAATTTGAGCCGAGGAAATTCTACAGAAAATATCTCAATAGAATAAGTTATATAGAAAAATTGAATTCTATTGACTTTTGCTACTGAATATTTTCTATTGAACATTTCAATAGAATCGGCCAAAAACTAATAGAACAGTTCAATAGAAATTCAATTGAATTTTCTAACGAATTCGATAGGTTTTCCTACTAAATTTTTTCGTCCATGTGCATCTCCTTATCTGCTGTTCATGACAAATCGCTTACCTTCTTCGACATTTGATTGATGATAATAATGTTCTGCTGAGGCGAGTCTGTCTGTGTTATTGCGTCCTAAAAATTCAGAATATTTCCATCAAATTTTTTAACCCTTCAAATACGGTGTCCATGCCACATATAGACCCGAGAGCTTTTGTCCTATCGGCCGGCGTCTATATGTCACATGGACCCTCGTGACCCTTTATTGGGCCCTGACTGTGATTGATAAACTTTTTTTTATCAAGATTGATAAAAATTCATTACCTCTCTATATTATAAAAATTCAAATCGACTTCTGGTTATGAAAACTTGGTATTTGAAATTAAGACTCCTAAATAAAGAGTCACAAGGGTCAAGAGGGTTAAAATAAAGGTCATGAGGCTCAGAATAAAGATCAAGAGAGTCAAAATAAGGTTTATGACGCTCAAAATAAGGGTCGAGAGGTTCAAAATAAGGGTCATGAGGCTCAGAATATGGGCAAGAAGGTCAAAATAAGGGTCAAGAGAGTTAAAATAAGGGTCATGAGGTTCAGAATAAGGATTATGGGGCTCAGAATGAGGATTAAGAAGGTCAAAATAAGGGTCATGAGGCTCAGAACACGGGTTAAGAGGGTGAAAATAAGGGTCAAAAGAGTTTAAATAAGGGCTAAGATAAGGGTAAAATGAGGCTCAGAATAAGGGTCATGGAGGTCCAAAACCCTCCACGCCCCCTGGTGGCCCTCTGGGGTTGAGGGTTAGAAACTAAGGGTCACCAAGAGGGTCAAAATAAGGGTAATGAGGCTCAGAACACGGGTCAAGAGGGTTTAAATAAGGGTTAAGATAAGGGTAAAATTAGCCTCACAATAAGGATAAGAATAAGGGTCATGGAGATCCAAAACTGAGGGTTAGAAACTAAGGGTCACCAGGGTTAAAATAAGGTTCGCGAGGGTTATAATGAGGGTCAGATTAAAGATCTAAATAAGGGTCAGATTAAGTGTCATGGGAGACAGAAACTAAGGGTCACAAGGGTTAAAATATGAGTTTCTATATATCTCTCTATATCATAAAAATCCAAACCGACTTCTGGTGATGAAAATTTGATACTCAAAATTAAGACTCCGAAATTACAGGTCAGAAATGAAGGGTCAAAATGAGGGTCAGATGAAAGCTCATAAGGGTCAGAATAAGGGTCATGGGGGTCATATGGCGGTTGACGAGGGGAGCAAGGGGCATTATCATTAAATTTTAGTTGATGGTTTTTTGATCATGAGTATAGTAATTGTCGCCTATTCGTAACAGCAAATTCCGATTTAAATTTCGAAACCGACCTTTGACTGCTTCTGATCTATTGAAGACTGAACAGCCATCAATGCTCGGCATTTCTTCAGACATTCGTAAGCAATGTCAACTGCATCTCGACATGCATCGCAAACGACAAATGGAGATGTCTTTGATTCATCGATATTACCGCGATTGAATTCTTTGATCCTCTCGAGGACTTCGGAATCCCCAAGCTTGTTCACAACATCCACTCGTCGTGAAGTCGTCACTTGATTCCCACAAATCGTGCACTTTTGGTACTTTTTCTTTTTGTTGTTTGGCATGATGACGATTTCTCGTCAGTAGTGATTGGCGTCTTCACTAATGATTCCAGATCCGATTTCAGATGGGCAGATCAAAGGAAACCTTGATTAACTTTTCTTGAGAGCTGTCTGCTTCTTCTTGATTATCGTGAAAGTAGGAAGTGAAGAGGACTGAAGAGGAAACAATTGAAGGGATAGAAAACGTTTACGCATGAAAAACATTTATAGAAAAAGCTAGCGAATTCGCTAGACAATTCTATTGAACTTTCTGTTAGTTTTCGCCGATTCTAGTGGAATGAATTCGATTTTTCTCTACAATGTATTTTATTGAGATATTTTGTAGAATTCTGCAGAATTTTGTAGAATTTCCACTCAACTTTTACAAGTTTTTTTCATTCTATTTCAATTTTTTTCATGAAGAAAATCAAACAATTGGAAAAATTTATTTTCAAACCAATATTCAGGAAAAGGTAAAAAAATTTCATGTTGAGGCAATATTGAATTCAATGAATCATTGAATTGAATTTAAAATATAGCGTCACAGAAATTCCATTCCAAAAAAAATTAATGATCCATTAGCAAAAATGTATTGACTATGCTGTGACCAAACCAATTTCCTACTTGTTTATCTTTATTTGTTTTGTGGGTAATATTTCCCATTAATGGCTCCTATTCATAATAACCTTGGCGTTATGTGAATAAAAAGTATGAATTGATGTGAATGATAACTATAAACTATAAATACAACTATAACTATAAATTATGAATTGATAATCAGTGACTATTCTCCTAGCATCAATTAGCGGGGCAATGAGTAACTGAGTAATCTTTGTTCACCTTCAATTATTACGGACAAATTTATAAAATAGGAATAATATTTATAAAAAATGATTTTCTTGAATGGGAACTTTGGGACTTTGCCACGCCCCTTTTTTGAATCGACCAATCAGATTGTCGAAGAGAAGGATGAGTGACCACTTCTCATCCTCTCTCTCGGCACGGTTTCCTCACTATGGAACTAAATGGCGAGGAGCCGTTCCAGTATACTTATAGTTCAGTGGTTCTGTTTAGTAACGTTCTGTGTTAGGAATGTGAAATGACTGTCACTTTTCAATTCGGTCAGGTCAGGCAAAATTGACCGTTTTCTGACCATTTTCTGACACCGAGATAATTCCCCATGCAAAATGATCGTCATGAACAACCAGCGTCAAAAATTTGAGAAAATGACCAAAATTCCTCTATATAGATGCAAATTGACGGTCATTTTCTTTTTGGTAATTTTTTCGGTCAGATTTTTGGTTATTTTATTTCATTAGTTAGGAATTGAATCGCATTTCATAATTTAAAGTTAATGTTTATTGGAATGAATTACAAAACAATCATAAATTCGATACTCGAGATCACTCATGATAAACTCATGAACTTAATAAACGTCAAGGAAATTAATTAAATATATATCTCTGTATATATTATGTTTTTGGTCAAAAACTTCATATTAAATTAGGAGGATGCTGGATGAGGCTCGTCTTCAGTCCGTCACTCCTTAATTCTCATAATTGCTACCTCATCTAGCTCGCTGAGCTCTTAACCTGAATTGCTTGCTGAACGAATTTTGTTATCTAGTGTCGCATAGACCCCTAGTGGCGACGCAGGGTCCCTATGATCGCCAGCAACCTTGCCGACACCGAGTAACCGAATAAAAATTTCGGTGTATCATCTATATACATGAGAATTGACCGTCAGAATTGGTCATTTTTCGAATTCTGACCGAATCGTCAGATTTATGGACATGGTAATTTATACTCGAGTGCGCATGCACAGAGGGAAGTCATGCGTACGCACGGTGAAGAAAACAGTTCCATCTAGAGATGCAAAACGACCGTCATTTTTTAAATTACTTCATATGACCAAAAAATGACGGTCATGTGACGCACAAATTTTCCAACTACAAATGATTGTCACAAATCATTTGTAATCAAATTGTTGTCAAACCATCTATATAGTTGCATAATGACGGTCATAACTAATTTCAAATTTGTGACGGTCATGAATAAAACAAAATAGTTTCATCTATATGGATGGAAAAAAAACGTGATTTCCATTTCAAAATGCAGATTAGGCCAATACAAAAGGAATTGAACTGAACATTGACCGAGAAAAAAATAAAGTTTCATCTGTATAGATGAAAAATGACTGTCATTTTTTCTTAACAAGTTGCGACGGTCACAGAAGGGGGAGGGGGAATGTGACAGCCGTCATGAACGCCTCGTCATGTGACCGTCAATGACGTCACATGACCGTCATATGCCGGGTCATGTGACGCATTTGCATCTCTAGTTCCACCTTCGTTTGTAGATTGAACAAACATCTAAACAACATAATTATCAACTGAAAACTATCAATAAAGATGAAGAACAATATTTATTGATGCTATATTCGATTTTTGAACGATAGTTTGCATTTTATCGTTGTAAAATTGTGGTTTTGATGGACTTTTTGAGACAAGATTTTGTTGTTAACTGGTGAATCTGTTGACCTGTCAAAATAAGTGAAGTGTTTTCACCTCGAAGATGATGAATATTCACAAAATAAGCTCCAAACTCTGCAGATTATGTGGGAAAGAGAAGGCTCGAGGCACTGATGTATTCAAGGACAAGATAAAGGGGGCAGTCCTGGTTTCGATAATTAATAAATATTTTCCAAGAGAGGTAAACAACGGTGTGACAGGTCTTGTTGGGGGGATTTGTCTGATTGTTAGGAGATTTCAATTGTTTCCGAATGGAAGCTTTGTATTTATGTATGTAGGCTTTTTTCTTCAATTCTTTTTTGGAAATTTTCTTATAAGGGATCAATGGAATTTTATAAAAAAAATTTTTAATGTAGACTTTAATAGGTTCTATTCATTGACACCAATTAAAATTCAATTCTTCATACAGATTTGAGAAAATTGATATATCTCCAAAAACGGATTTTTCAACGGTCGCTCCAAAAATTGTCACCAAAATGGAATTAGTGATGGCTCAAAAAATTGATAACAATACCCTCTTGTTTCTATCAGAATATGATGGGGGTCGTACAATTTGTTGTTGAGTTACAGCAGATTGTTTATGCGATTTGAAAGAGAAAATGGGATTTTTCATGATTACTGAAAGAATCATCAGTAATAGCAATTAAATCAGGGCTTGAAAAGTATATTTCAATGGCTTCTTAATCCAGTTGAAAAACGGTGAGAACAGCATCATTGCTTATCAAGTTACACAATATCGTCATGAGCTTTTTATATAAAAATCTCTATCTCTATTAAACTCAGGTAGCAGTCTATTATGTTGAATACTTATTCATATTGATTCATGGTTCCGACTAACTTCTGACAGAACCTGGGTTAAACTCTGGCTAAATCCTGAATAAACCCTGATTAAATCCCGGCTATACACTGATTAAACCTTGATTGAACCTTGATTAAACCCGGACTGAAAACGAATTCGAGTCATGAGAGAGTCTGAATGTAGAATTATTTGACAGAACGAAATAATGCGAAAAATTTTGATGGCATTTCAATTGATGATAGCACTATGACATGAAAAAATAGAAGAAGAGTATAGTGACATAAGAATTGAAAAAAGAGAACCCGTTCGGAGGCAAATTACTAATTTATTAGCAACAATAACTATACTCATTTACAAAAAAATGCAATTATGCACTTGTTGGAGAATTTTTACAGGTGATCAATGTCTCGGAGTCCGACAATTTTTCGAAGTACGTCTGCATGGATTGCGAGCAGAAAATCTGCAGCTTTGATGAGTTCTGCTTGATGGTGGCTAATGTGCAGAAGCAGCTGACCGCTCCATCGATTGAAATCGATTTTGCTGAGGTGAGATATTGTCTTCTGAAGGCATACCGACATCATTGCGATTTTATTCATCTCGAGGTAGATAAAAAGCATTTTACAGATTTCCTTCGGTACAAAAGATCACTTAGAAGACATTAAAATACGCGAATTATAAATTCTTCTTGAATTTAATCAATTGATTCCATTTTATCTAGAAGTAATTCATTTATATTTCGATCTTTATTAATTTGTTAATACATTCGTTCATTTCTAGGTTTATTTGAACAAGTTTTTATCATTCCACGTCAGTTTTGCGTTATTTTCATTATTATTAACGTATGAGGGGTTTGACGCGCAAATAAATAGAAAGTCTCCAATTATTAAAATTTAATATTCAATGCAGAATTAAACCGGAGAAAAATTGACAAACTCTCGGAGAAAATTGTGAACTTCTGTTGGAAAATTCGATTGGATGATATAATAATGTTCTTTGTACGTTTAAGGACATGTTGAGCCACTTTAAAGAGACTGGACTCCTAGAGAAAGATCGTACCGAGCTGAGAACTGACAAAAGACTTGCTTGTGATCAGTGTGCCAAGACTTTCCGATGTCAGGCGCATCTAGAGAGGCACAAACGTGTTCACACTGGCCAGAGACCATTCGTCTGCGACGTAAGTGTCCCAAAAAAAAAACAAAACTCAGTCCGGAATGTTTTTTCCTTCAATTAATTAACCACTCTGGAATGAGTTTGCAAATTTATTGGTTCAAAGTAGTATGAATACGCTCCAGTTGAGTCGTTGAGTGTAAATTACCTTTGCAATTTCAATTTCCGTCTACTCTGGTAATGACAAATGAGTCAATTGTCAAAACTAGAGCAACTGTCATTCTGAATTTTCAATCTATTAGAGATTCAATTTAATTTAATGTTCAGTTTTACTTATAAGTTGAAAAATCAAAGCTCCCATTGGAATATTAATCATTGATTACTACAAACATGAGTTTCCTGGAACTTCCAAAATGAATAAGGCATTCTCTCGTTTTTATCTCATAATCACTTTAAACTCACGTCATTGAAAATGCATATGAAGCTGTTGCTTAAATTCCCATGAAATTCCAACAGTATAATTTACTTGATATTTTAAAAGAAAAAAAATTCACGAAAGTTCATTTCACTTCTTTACTGAAATGACAAGTGGCCCATCGCACAGGTGTAAATCGAGTATAATTTTTTTGCTGATAAGTAGCAATTTGCTTCTGAATGGATTAATCGAATTAAGGCCCGGGTGTACTATCTTTCGAAAGTTATCCGATGTTTGTGTTCATCTCTCGTCATCTGAAATTGTCAATCGAGTCCTGCATCATGCAGAAGCTTTGAAAAATTATGAATGAATAATCAAAAAAAAGTAGAAGAAATTCTTAATTTTTTCAAAGAGCATTTTTAATTTGTATTCAGAATAAGTTGAATAACAAGAAATTGAAAAATGTATCTGATTTACGGTGACAAATGGCGGCCTGTCACCCAATACCATGCAGGGGGAAGACTGATTTCGTAAATCTTTTCCCACACTGCACAGAGACATTTATTACGGAAAAGGCTTTTTGAAAAAAGTTGTAGTATTTTGGAGAATTTTTTAATCACACTTTTATCACATAAAAATGGCAGATGACAACATACCAGTATTTTGAAAATTGAGATACTTAGCTGTCACTTCCCATGAGGAGTTAGTGTTTTGTTATCCACCATTGAAAATGACAGCTAATAGATAATTTGCCACAGCGAATTATATATATGTAATTTCCATTTTTTTCAACTCATTCTGAATCTCAATTAAAAACGCTCTTTGAAAAAGTTCAGAATTTTTTCTATTTTTTATCATTCTATCATAATTTTTGGGAATTTCTACATGACGAAAGATGAAAAAAATCCAAATAACATTCGAAATATAGTACACCCGGGGCTTAAATTTACAAAAAGAAAATAATAAACCAAAATTGTTCTTTCCAAGACGATGTCCAAAAATCTGAACCTTCCAGATCTGCAGGATGTCCTTCAACCAGCCGGAGGTCCTGGGCAGACATCGCCAGAGTCACCAAGACAAGAAGGAGTGGCGCTGCAACACGTGCCTGCAGTCCTTCCGCTTCAAAGTCTCCTTGAAGTCCCACATGTTGAACTGTCACTCGGACCTGGACGCCTCCCTGGACCGCTTCGATCACTCCCTCACGTGCACCGAGTGCGGGAAGACCTTCGCGACGAAGTACAAGCTCCAGAGACACATGAGGTGTCACACTGGGGAGCGCCCCTTCAGCTGCAACTACTGCCATCGACAGTTTTCCCAGACTGGAAACCTCAAGCAACATCTCCTGAAGTGCACGAGGTCATCACCGATGATCCAGGAGGCGATCATTCCTGTTGGTGATAACGATCCTGGGGAGTTCCTCAACGAGGGAATTGCGAATGAAATTAGGAACGAAAGGGAGATAATTAATGAGAGAACGTTGAATGATTTTGAGCCTGTCTACATCACTGAGAGCGAAATCCAGAAGACAATTAACGAAACTATTAATGAGACGATTAATTCGAGCAATGACCCCAGCACTTCTTCCTTCCTCAAGAGCTATGACAATCCTATTTACATCGACGAGGAGATTGAAACTATTTTGGATAGGGATTTGGAGGAACTAGGGGGGAGTAAGTACGACGGAGGAGGGGGTGAGAAGCTGGGGATGTGTCTGAAGCAGCCAGAGACGCCTGAGTTGCTTCACAGTTTATTGTACGATGTTTAATTAATTTATGATGGATGATTCGAGGGATACTTTGATTAGTGCTGTGTTTTGAAGAGTATCCAAGTGTTTTTCTTGCAAAAATTATATAAAAATTTGTTGAAACATTGGAAGATAATTTTCCTATTAATCTTTGAACGATTTGCAATGTTTTTTAAGCAATTAATTAAGTTAATAAAGTCTAAAAATCATCATTTCAATCGTTCAAGTATTATTTTGTCCTGAAAAAAGCTGATCGAGGATATTCATCACTTCAACTTTTTGCTTCTCCAATAATTATTTAATTATTCGAGTCATTACATACAGCCAATTGGCATACATTTTTCATAATCATTTGAATGACCCCTAGATAGCTTATATACACACGTATGCTTAATAAATGCTTTAATATACCGTGAAAATAATAAAGAAAAAAAAGTACGACTTATATATTGGATATATATTACTGGAACTGTTACGATAATCAAACTTTCATCGTCTCATCTCTCCCGAGAGCTCCCCTATGACTTAAACTTTACTATTTGATTATTTTTGGATTAAGTAGACGAGTAAAAACATCAGTTCACCCTTCTCTACCATCTCCCATTATCCTACCCTTATTTATTCAATATAACGTCCAATACTCAACATTTATCATCGACTCCATCCAGCCTAGGCTCCAGAACCCATCGATGTAATGAATTCCAAGAGGAAAAAAAATAAAACAAAGAAAATGAAGAAAAACAAAATTAACTGACTTCCTCAGCTGAAGACTGTCATATTTTTACTGTCATAAATTTCAAAAAAGATCTAAAACATCAAGTTCATTAATTAAACAGTCATTTAATGAATTGTTGAATTAATGAATTGAAAAAATCTCAGTTTCGTGTAAAACAGCGGGAAAAGCTGCCAATAAATTTCCAAAAACTGATGTTTTTACCAATGAAAAGTGAAGAAATCAACGCAGAATATTTAATTGTCCAGTATTGGTGGCATAAACCATGCCCTGGCCAGGCTGTGGTGCCCACCTGATGCAATTAAGACTAACATGGCCAGCAGTCTCTCTATTGGCCTGCTGCAACTCCCTCAACAGCACCATTGTCTTCTTATTATCCTTGACCCCCCTATTCAAAGAATTCATGATAAAATTAGTCAAATCGCCGCGAAGATTGTTGATAAAGTCATTGTTTCTCCTGTCGGTGGGCAAATTCATGATGTAATGAAGGCTGGGATCTGGTGGGCATCTGTCCTCTTCCTCCTCCTCCTCCTCCTCCTCCTCCTCCTCCTCCTCCTCCTCAGGGCGATCCACGAATTTGTAGATGAGGGCCATTGGAAATGGCCTGGAGGGTGTGTGGACTCGACGCGATGCCAATCCCACCAGGAGATGCTGACGAGTCGGTGACATTGACAGGGAGACAACGGTCTGATCCACTTGAGTAGAGTAGACACGCTTTCCTAGCGTTTCCCATTGGAGACTGTAAACACCTGTAATCAGGGAATTCAATGTCAAACTGTTGCTTCTAGAGGGTGAGACTATCTCTCTGTACTGAGAAAAAAAATTCAGTAGCGAAGTGGTCAAACGGCTCAAGTCAATAGGGAACTTGCATAGAGTCCACTTTTCGAGTATTTTTAAGGCCCGGATGTACTAGCTTTCGAACATTATCTCGATGTTTTTTTTCATCTTTCGTCATCTGAAATTGTCAATTAAGTCCTGCATCATGCAGAAGTTTTGAGTAATTATGAATGAATAATAAAAAAAAAGTAGAAAAAATTCTTAATTTTTTCAAAGAGCATTTTTAATTTGTATTCAGAATAAGTTGAATAACAAGAAATTGAAAAATGTATCTGATTTACGGTGACAAATGGCGGCCTGTCACCCAATATCATGCAGGGGGAACACTGATTTCGTAAATATTTTCCCACACTGCACAGAGACATTTATTACGGAAAAGGCTCTTTGAAAAAAGTTGTAATATTTTGGAGAATTTTTTAATCACATTTTTATCACATAAAAATGGCAGATGACTACATACCACTGTTTTGAAAATTGAGATACCTAGCTGTCACTTCCCATGAGGAGTTAGTGTTTTGTTATCCACCATGGAAAATGACAGCTAATAGATAATTTGCCACAGCAAATCAGATATTTGTAATTTCCACTTTTTTCAACTCATTCTGAATCTCAATTAAAAACACTCTTTGAAAAAGTTCAGAATTGTTTCTATTTTTCTTTTATCATTCTATCATAATTTTTGGGAATTTCTACACGATGTACCACTCAATTGACAATTTTGGATTACGAAAGATAAAAAAAATCCAAATAACATTCGAAAGATAGTGCACTCGAGCCTTAAGTCATTATCAATATTTATAAAACATCTATAAGTATATGAAGTTTAACAAATTCGATTTCTTCATTTTCACAACGAATAGATAAGCGTGCGCGAAAGCGCGCGCACAGGTCTATTATAAAAATTCAAATCGACTTCTGGTGATGAAAATTTGGTACTCGAAATTAAGACTCCAAAGTTAAGTCTCAAGGGCCTAAATAAGGGTCACGAGGGTCAAAATAAGGATCATGACAAATATCAAGCAAAAAATCCTGCCAACGACTAATTTACATTGAATTTTCATCTGCGTTGCTATTGACAGGAAGACAACAGTCTGATCGACTTCAGCCGAGTAAACGAGTTCTCCCAGTTTCCCATTGAACACTATAAGCACCTGTAATCGACAAAGTCAAATTCAAGCATCATCTGTATGAGACCTATCTTGTAACTGGGGGAATTTCCGATTCAAAACAGTAGCTGACGATCCCTCTATCTCAAGTTGTTGCCAAGTTATGCGGGGAAAACTTCTGAATTTCTGAAGTCATCAGGATATCTCGAAAGCCACTGGAGTGAATTGGGTCGTCTTGCTGAGTTTTTCAACGAAAGTTTCCCGGAGGATTCATTCACAAACACTTCTTCCTCTCTTCTCGCGTTTTTATCTATACAGTGGACTCTCCTTTATCCGCAGGCCTCGGGACTCGGTCGTGACGTCATTTCATGTGAAACGCAGATAAAGGAACGTCCCCACTCCTCCAGTTTACAGCAGCATTAGAAGAGGAAAAGTGTCGAGAATAGTGGGGGGGGAATCGTGGCAGTGGTTTACATTTGTGACCCACTGCGCATTTCATAGCGCATGACGTCAAAGAGAAGGATGCACGATAGATATGGAGTGGTGGAAGGTTTTTGAGGGGCAACAGGCCTTGAGGGGAGTGAGCGCAGATTACGGAGTCGGCGGATAAAGGAGAGTCCACTGTACTGCAACTGTGAGTTGAATTGCACTGAGGGAGACCAATTTCTTCCGGTTTTTATGGCTTTTATTTTTACGTCACATGTTACGATGTTGCGACAGGTCGGACGCTCGCGGCTCTTAGGAACCGTAGAAGAGGTCTGACACTTCTGACCTTTTTCACAAAAATCAAAATAAGAAATCTCCTAAAGCCCACGGCGATGACCCTTAAAACAGTTCTCGCCTACTCTGACTCTTGAGACTCTGAACCATGTAGGGTTTTTCCGTCATAAGTTACCATTCTGCTAGATCCCTGACCCTTGTGGCCCTTAGAAACAGTAGAGAAAAATCCCCTCCTTGCTGACCTTTTTTATTAATAAATTCAAACCCTTATAGAGGTTCTCTGACCCTTAAGGTCCAATCGTCTAGTTGACCTCCATAACCATTATGGTCCATTCTGACCCTTGCGACCCTTGAACTTCCAAAGTTTCTACGGCATATGTTGCACTTTTGCATTACACCTTACGCTCGAGATACTCAAGACCCGAAAACAAAGAAAAAAACGTCTGACCCTTACGACCCGTTTCCAAAACATCAATTCCAATTTTCATAAGGGTTGTGTGACCCTTACAATAGTTTACCTCCGTTTTTCTGGTTGACATTGATAACACCAAAGCCAACCAGCGCTTTGATCCATTCGGACCCTTGTGACCTATTTTTTAGATAGCAATTCGATCTACCGTAAGGGTTTCCCCGACTCTTCTGATCGACCTTGACGCAAAAAATCTCCTAAAGCCCAAAGCGTTGACCTTTACAACAGTTCTAGTCTGTGTTGACGCTTGTGACCCTGAGCCATTCAGGGTTTTTCCATCATAAGTTACCATTGTGCTAGATCTCTGACCCTTGTGGCCCTTAGAAACACTAGGAAAAAATCCTTTTCTACCTGCTATTTTTTATTAATAAATTCAAACCCTTATAAAGATCCTCTGACCCTTAAGATTGTTCTTCAATCGTCTGCTTGACTGCTATAACCATTATGGTACATTCTGGCCCTTGCGACCCTTGAACTTCCAAAGTTTCTACGTCATATGTTACACTTTTGCATCACACCTTAGTCTCGAGACCCTCGAAACCCGAAACAAAGAAAACAAGTCTGACCCTTGCAACCTGTTTCCAAAATATCAATTCCAATTGTCATAAGGGTTGTGTGACCCTTACAATTGTTCATCTCTATTTTTCTGGTTGACTCTGATAAACGTTTCGATCCATTCGAACCCTTGTGACCTATTTTTGAGATATCAATTCAATTTACCGTAAGGGTCAACTCCTCTAACTGACCCTTGCAACATTTTTGATCCATTATGTAAGATTTGACCCTTACGACCCCCCACAATAAATACCCCAAACTCACCTACAGTAGTAGTAACATTGATCCTGCCAGAAGGTAGCACAGTAGCCAGATACTTTCCATCGGAGGAGATATCGATACTAGCGTCATTATGAATCTTGCACTCCCTCACAACGATATTTTTCTCAGGATCAGTGACATCCGGTATTTCAGCATTGGAGAAGTCCCACGCTTGAACCCTGTAGCTGTGAATCTCAAGAGCATGCAGCGACATGGAGACCGGCACCTGGTCCCTGATCTCGATCTCATCCGAATCATCATTCCCCGGATCAGGTCCAGGCGCTCCTGCCGCTCCAGCGGCCATTCCAGCAGCAGCAACATGTCCAGGATGTCTGGAGTGTGAGAAGCTGCCCCAGCTGATCTGGGGCATCCAGGGTCTGGGAAGGGTCCTCGCTCTCCCTCCGAAGATCCGCTCACCCTCAGGATTATTGACAACCGTAACGGTGGATCCTGAAGAGTATCCGGGTAGTGACGTAGTCAGCCTGTGATTGGCAGCGCTCCTAGTGAATTCATTGAAAATCCTCCTAGCATAAGCAGCAGTGGATGAACTCCTCGGTGGAGTACTCCGCGCATTCAAATTATTGAAATCACTGACAGGAACATTGTTGACCTGAACAACAGGAACATTGAAAGGCCGGGAGTTATCCCTTCTATTCTGTTCCTCCCTGTTCTGTTCCTCCCGCCGTTCCGAGGAATTCGATTCCCCCACCCTTGAGTTCGTCCGCGAATTCCATGACTGAAGCAGCCTCGATGATATAGGTTCCAAGAGCGACCTCAGGCGGTTCATCCTGGCAACCCTGGCAGCCCATCTACGAGCCCTTAAGGTCCCCGCACCCTGTGGCCCTTGCCTCAGAGACTCCTCCAATCTGGTCACCAACGTCGGATTCATCCTTATATCGAAAATCCTCGAGGTCGACTCAGTGTGATTTCTCTCTTTCAGCTGTTCGCTTATAAAGCTACGTTGGCATTGTCGCATTAATTCCGCGTCGAAGGATGGTGGAGGGCCTTCTTGATTTCCCGAAGAGGTCGAAGGAATCGATGAACCTCCTCGAGACGATGATGCACCTGAGTTCGATGGGCCATCGATGATCCCTCCCATCTGGGCAACATCCTCGAGATCACTCATGTCATTGTCCTCCCTCGGAGTGATCGTTGAGCTCTGATTGTTCTGCCAGATGTTCTCCTGCTGCTCCGAGAAGAATATCAACGTCTGAGCGGTCAGAAGATCTATGAGTTCTAGGGCCTGACGAATTATAACGAAGATGCATCTCAGCTGGAAGTACCTCTGGTAGTTCCCGATCCTCCAGAAGTTGAAGCTTGAGTAGTGGTCTGATAGCAAGCTCCATGCAGCCTCCAATCGTTGTCTTGCTGAGTTGTGAAGAACCACGCGGTTCTCATGGGACATCTGCTCGCTGTTATCGTCCTCGTTTCTTTCGCTTCTCGAGACAATCCGCCCGTCATTAGGAAGGGCGTTGTAATGTTGGATCAGGAGGGTCGAGAGTTCCGCTACTTGACGATCCAGACCATTCTGGAGGATCCGTAACTGTGGTAGAATCGTTCTGGCCACGTGCCTAGCCCTGGACATCATCTGCATGTACTTGTTCATCCCGAAGTAGCTCTGGTTGGATTGAGCGTCGTCATCGGAACTTGAGTCGTCATCGTCAGAAGATCCGCCCTCTCGTCTATTCCAAATCTCTCGATTCCATTTGGACATTATCCTAGGCGCTGCACTCGCCGGGTTCAGAAAGTCCCTCTCCTCGATACTGGATGGTAGATTCGAATACGTGTGATCGTTGGTAGGATTAGGAGAGCGCGAGCGCATTCTCTCCCTAATGGGGTTCGAGTGGTACAAGAACCTGTGGAAAAACAGCTGCTCGAAGTCAGACTCCTCGGGAATTATGTGGGACAGTGCGTCGATGACTTTCTCCTGCCTCGGCTGGAGAAAGGGCTTGGAATTCGTGCGAGAGGAACCTGGAGCCTCCTGAGAGGTGCAGGGTTGGCTCGAGGAACTCTCGGTTGTGTCCAGTCGGGGCTTCTTGCAGCTGCTACCACCTTGCAGGCTTTCCTCGGAGTTCCTAGGGTTCATGGAACGGATCCCTGCGAGAAAGCCCTCCCACCTAGCCCTCTGACCACGGTAGTACCTGATGTCACTGATGAGATTGTTTAACTGCTCTTCTGGTTGATCGTTCGAGCGGTTCCGTGGCACCCTCCAGCCTCTGAAGTCCAACTCTTCAGGCGGTTCAGCTCTTCTTGATTCTGTGGAGGTCTGAGGTCCTGGGGCAGACCGTGCAGCCTTCAAGAAACGTCTTGGTGACTGCGGGTTAGAGGAACCTGTCTCGGAGCTGGTGATTGACGTCATGGAGGAGTCTTCATCAGAGGATTTGTCAACCTGTGAGGTTTGGGGTTCGAGAAAGCTTGAAGTGCTGGGTTGAGGCTTTTTCGCGTCGCTGGGTCCACTCGGTCCAGGCTGGGCCTTGTCAGCATCCAGTGAACGTTTCTTGATGTTCTCTCGAAGGCTTCTAAAGGGGAACAATGGTGGTTGTTCGTAACGGCTGGCGTTAGCTGAGACGGGAGATAGCAGTGCTCGGTCGACACCTTCGGAGTTCCTTAATGATTCTTGAGGTGTCACTGTGTCGATCGTTGGGACCTCGGGGGCCCTGTTTGGGGGAACTATCCGAATCCATCGAGAGGTCCATCTTTGAGAAACAGTGGGATTTGCCGTGGATTCTTCGTCGTGATTCGAGTCGGAGTTGCTGTTCTCCTCGAGAAGCCAATAACCATTCTCCGATTGCTCACCAACAGTCTCTTCCTCGTTTGAAGGACGAGTTGACTCGGCAGTGGGGACAGGCCTGCGAGGTGGTCCTGGTCTAATTGCCTCCTCCTCTTCGTCTTCTATCTCTTCCTCTCGATCGACATCTGTGGGAATGTTCAATGGAGGGCTGTTGTCCATTTCAACAGTCTCGCTGTTCTCAATGAATGTAGTACCACTTTGATTGTTTGAAGTGGAACTTCCGAAAATTGACTGGGAATTTGTGAGAGTCCCATACATTTGCCGGAAAAGGGATTTTATAAACCTTCGGAGCAAATCGTCGCGATTCTGAGCGCGGCTAGTGGCAGAACTTCTGAAAAGGGAAGGCTCATCGTCATCGTTATTCACAGAATTCTCTCGTGTTCTAGAGGATGATGATGAAATTCCATCAATTAGCCTTCTCAGTTTCAATCTATCTACTGCATTGATTCTCAGTCTTCTTAGATAATCATCAGTCTCCTCGTCTCGTGGAAATGTCTCTAAGGACGAAGCGCCTGTAGGTGTCTCTGAAAACGTCCGCATTCTGTTCCTCAGTTCTGCCAGTCGTTCACTGATTTCTTGCAGAGTCATCGGTAGATTCGTGGAGTCCTCGTCGTCGGGTTCGCTTGGAGTTAGACGAGATGACCCGGCGGCCCCTGATTCATCAGTGCCCCTAGCTCGTCTCCTGAGATCGGCTTCGCGGATTGCCTGGATGCTTCGAGCGTTAGCAATCATATCATCAACGTCGATTCCCGCCCCTCTTGAGGATGATGCTCCAGTTAGACGAGATGACCCGGCGGCCCCTGATTCATCAGTGCCCCTAGCTCGTCTCCTGAGATCGGCTTCGCGGAGTGCCTGGATGATTCGAGCGTTAGCAATCATGTCATCAACGTCGATTCCCGCCCCTCTTGAGGATGATGCTCCAGACTCATCAGACAGCACTCGAATACGCCTCCGAAGTTCTATAAGCCGCTCTTCAGCTTCTGCGTCTCTTCTCGCTGTTTCGAGACTTCGGTCCAGAGACTCCCAGGCTACGCTAGAAGTGCTTAAATACGGATTTACTAATCCCACGATTTCAAGTTCTCTGCGGAGCATGGCTCTCAACGATACTCTCTCTACTGTACGATGTCTACCCTCTATGTAGCGTAAGCTTAGACCGCGACGGTTATGTGGCGAGATCCTAGAAGTTGATAGACTGTCTTGAATACTAGACGAAGGCCCTGGGTTCTCGTTTTCTCGTCTTCTAAAAAGCCGATATTTCAGTCTCAACGGCAATTGTTGTCTGAACCTCTGAAGCCCTCTTCGAATTCTCGGATCTCCAGGTTCCTGAGCACTCGAGGATCTCCGGTTATTTTCGTCTGGAGTTCTATCGGATGGTGAAAGTAGGAATGAGCCAGAAGATCCGTCTTCGACGGAGGTATGACGAGGTTGCCTCCGCTCTGAAGACGACACTGGAGTTCTTGAAGGTGCTCCTGTCCCCTCATCATCAGCTTCAGGTCTCAATGACCCTTCAACCGAATTTGTCCTCAATGTTCTCCTTTCCTCGCTGGGTCTTCTCTCCTCTGAAGCCTCAGAACGCGAGGATGGTCGGCTCGGATTGCCTGCTCTCCACCAAGCTTGAAAGCTACCCTGTGCGGAATGCGAATTACTAGACTGCCCAACGCTTTTCCTCCTGACACTAGGCTGAAACGCAGACCTCGAAGAGACCGTGAAATTCGAAGCACCGGAGGAGGGGCCCTGGGTCGACTGCTCTTCGTCAGAAGATGCCGAGGAATCATTCGCCTCCACCGAATTACCAATCCTGGAGTAGTACTCCAATCCGCGTAGATAGCTCTCCGCCACATCATCGTTCAGTCTCCTACGTCTCCTGGAAGGTCCTTCGTTCTCTTCAGGACTCTGAGCTGATAATCTCCTCGTGGACGTTGATGTCGAGGGCCTTGTCCAAGTTTCCACATTCTGAAGACCCTCCGCCACATTCACATTATCAGGGAAAAGTGGATTCTCCTCAACAGCTCCCGATTCCTCATTATTAACGGGAATTGATGCCGAGTTCATAAGCACTCTTATTCTGTGAGTCATAGTGCAGACTCGACTGAATTCCAGCTCAAGCTTCGCCACCTCCTCCAACTCCTGTGCCAACGCATTTCGAAACCTACTATTGGTCTCATATTCTCGAGCAAACACCGTACTCCGATACCTCAGCCAATCCCTCAACAATCTCACTTTCCGATGTCCCAAATTCTGGTTCATCATGGTAGTCGCCAATGCTTGTCTGGACATCCTGAACCTCCCAATCTGACCGCGCTCGGCATTCAATAAGCGCGGTACCCTCAACCAACTACTAAAATTCGCTTGGATCATGTCAGTTATCTCCCTTCTCAATGATTCAATCATGGCCCTCAAGTGTCGGTCCACAGTGCGGTTTGTGCGATAGCTTAAGGGACAACTGAAGGACTCCCTCACTAAACTATCGTAATGGTATACAAGGTTCCTGTGACATAAGTTCCTATTGATCTCCGAATAGATCTCTATCAGACGTCTTTCGAGGGTTCTCGTGAAGAAGTTCATGTGGGGAGGAGCTGTGGGTGGCGGGTTCAGGGGTTGAGGATCAAGAGGCTGAGCTATGTCAGGAATGAACCAGTCTCTCGAGTGTCTGTCCTGGCTGCGACGAGTCAGGGGGGTTCTAGGGGGCTCTTCCGGCGCGTAGCTGTTGCGTCGGACCTCGATGGTGACGTTTTCCAATTGCGAGGATGGAGAGTTCTCAGGGGGATTCCCCGGAGTGAGAGCGATATCCCCTTGGGTCACGAGGTTGAAGAATGATCGCTCCGCCCTCCGACGGGCGTCATCGGCGTTCGCTGGCTCCGGGGGAACTGTTGGGGGAGGGGCCGCGGGGAAAGGTTCCGGCAGGGGCCCGGGCCCAAAAACACTCTCGGGGCGGTTCTCCTGCCACCAGCGGCTCCCGTGGTTCCACAAGTGGTACAAACGGGGTGTCGAGATGGGCGATTGGGTCCGCTCCGCGGTCGACCAATAGTCAGGACGGAGAAGGGTTCTGTTGGGCGCCTCCGGAGGCCGGTCCCACTGCGACTGCGTTTGCACTACATTACCGATTCCCGTTATCAATTTGCGGCCTGTTTTGTCGAAGGCCACGTAACGAACCTTCTCTTTGTCGTTGCGGGTGGTGGCCACCGCGAACGGCTCCGGCTCTGACCAATCCCAAAAGTGGATTTCATTGTATGTAGCGATCACCAGGAGGCGCTCGGTCGGGTGAAACGCGAGGGACGCGATTACGGTCTGGGACTCAGCGTTCCAGACCTCGGAACCTCCCGCGAGATCCCACACACGGACCTGACCACCCAGACAACCTGTGGCTATTATGTCGGTGGTCGGGTGGAACGCGATGCACCACGGGGTGCGGGGGTGGCCCGTTAGAACGCGAATGTTCTTGCCGGTTGTCAAGTCTGTTATGCAGACGTTGTGGTTACCATGGGTCGATGCCACTTTTGTACTGAAATTTAGAGAGAGAGAAACTTCATGGAGGGGTAATTCCTTATTCTCTGGGCATTGAGGGAACAACAGATTTATAGGATTGAGTTCATTTTTCGCAGAATCTTCTCTTCAGTTGGGGGATGAAGAGGATTAAGGATATCCAAGTAGTTCAGGCAATTTTTTCTGGGGGAAATTCCCTTCAGAGTTTGCAGAATAGACCAAGGATATTTTTTAGGCGCAGTATAAACTTTAGTTTCCGAACATATTTTCGAGAAAACGATTTTTGAAAGAATGAAATTTAACACATTACGTCCATAACAGTTGTATACTCCCACCTTCAATCCAATAGTTCAGTCTTAGAGCGTTTTCTCGTACACATAACCATATATGACTTTGTTCGTTATACTCTCGTTGTTTTTGCGACATTAAAAAACATAAGTTTCCGGACAGATAATTGCAAACAATCAAACTAAAAGCTTCTTGATTGGTACGACGGCCATATTGGGTGGTTTGAATCCGCGCGTTCCTCCCTTCTGGCAACGGTCTACTCAAGTGACTACTCGGACCGAATTTACGAGGTTATATGGAACACATGTGCAGTGTTGCCGCATGATCATTAGAGGTTAGACCAACGAGAGTCAAGTGTGAAATTGAATAAAATATTGTTCACAATATTCAAGCTGAACTCTTGCTTGAAAAAAAGGCGCCAATTTGAACGGAGTACTTGGATATCCTTAAGGTGTATTCCTAGACAACACGTTTTTCTTAAGGTATTTATGCCGCGGTCAGGGGGGAGGGGGTTGGAGAAAAGTAAAGAAATTTCATTATGAGAGGCATTTAGGGAAAAAGTCTTTATGGCTCCTTATCGGCAGTGGCGCCATCTATCGGAATTCTAGAATATTCTAGAATTTTCTAGAAAATTCATTTATGCAAAAAACAAGCTAGAAAAATAAAAGAAGGCTTGAAATATGTGGGAAAAAATAGAAAACTTATTGAAAAAATATTTCGAAGGCAAAAATGGAAGGCGAAAATATATTGAAAATTTATAATTGAAATATCGTTTTTTTTTGTTCTGCGAGAGAACAATAGATTCCCCTCTGTGCCTACCCCGCCATAAATACCTTAAATCTCAAATGAAATCTCTGATGTTCGACTACAAAAGTAGAAAAGCATGGAGAAAAAATAGCCAAAATACTTGGTCATCCTTGGAACTGGTCAACTCATAACTGAAGCGATGGCGAATGCAGAAAAAAAAATTACTGAGGACTGGTGAAAAACAATCAACTCACCCATCTGGACTGAAGACCATCAGAAATGTCGCCCTCGCGATTCCAGGCACGAAGCATTTCTGAAAAAACGTCAACCCTCAGTCTCAAAATCCCAAAATAAATAGGCTCTAGTGGAGAAAAGTGAACACTTTGGACTCTCTTCAAATGTTAATAACTCATTGAATTGATGACTCCAGCACGAGTTCAACCGACGAATTTATGTCTGAGTTATGAACATTTAAAGTAGCTCTCCCCTTCGGCCGGGCTATGCTGTACTTTTCGATATTTTCAGTTTTTAAATTTTTCAACTAAATTGCATGGAAAAAATTCGAAAAAATTCATACCCAGTCAGTATTATCTGAATTAAATTCCGCAAAATACTGATATTTTTTCAAAAATTTCCCTCTTATAAATAAATTATAAAACTTGTTTGCAAAACGATGGATTATTTTTTATGAGGTGTCAAGAAAATTGTTGATTTTTTCACATCTAATGAAAAAAAATTCAGATTTTAATCTTTGATTACAATGGAAATTTTGATTGTCACATAAAACACTGGGTTGAATCCTGATTTTTAAACATTTCTTCTTTGAAAAACCAAAACGATAATTAAATTGAGAAAAAAATTAAAATTCCGAATCTAATCGAGTTTTCTGCAATTGTTTTGCAGTTTTCATCTCACCGGCAACTTCAACTCACCATTTCCTCGTGATCTTTCAGAACCAGATTAGTCTCAGCGATGGACTCAAATTCTTTGGTGCTGGCACTAGAACTAGTTCCCATACCCACATCCCTGAACATGAAGCTCCTCATCAAATTCTCCACCTTCTTCTTCGGCTGGGCCTCCTTCTTCCGGCCCTCCTCCATTTTGATTCTCCTTTACAGAAGTATGAATAAGGTCCAGTTGAGGCATTGAGTGTAACAAGAAAAAAATAATTTCAAAAAGCCAAAGAAAAAATTACTCATCATTGATAATTTTTGCATGAATTCTGTGAATTCTATTGGCCGTTTTCAATCAATATCTCGGGATCTAAGGCGGATAGCAAAATTTTTATTATGACCTTTTTTGTAGAGCGGATCGAGATATACAAAAAAGGTTGATACGAAAATTTCGGTGTCTCCCTTGGATTCGGAGATATTCCTCGAAAACAGCGAAGAGCCAAGTCGACTTGAATCGTTTTAGCCCTTCGCTACTGAATTCTTTCTTCAATTATTTTTTTGAACAGTAGTCTTTCATTTGACTAGTGTGTTTCGATATAAGACGTGATTTCGGGGAAGGAGAAACATAAATTATTTATTACAAAAGTTTGATGCTTACGATCTTTTTTATATTGAACAGCACTATCAGTCATTTTTTCTGATTTTTTGCGATTTTTTCTGGAAGATTTTTGTAATCTTTTCCGTAAGCTCGAAAAGTTCATTTCCTCATAAGACTCTGGGCCTAGATGTGATTTTTTTGTGGGATTGATGGGATTCTTGTTTTTCTAGATAGAATTTTTTTCTGGACTGAGGATCCACTGAGATTTTACTTCTGACCCTTAATTTTTTGCTTTCAAATGGAAGCTTTGTAATCGTTCAAATTTAAGTTTTGGATTTTTCTGTTATATCGACCCGGTTCGATCTAAAATGAATGGATGGAATTGAATCTGTTTTTCTTCAATTGTAGGTATTGTTGATCCTTATCAATCGCCATTAATTAAAATTCAATTCATCGATTAGTTTTCTTAATTTTCGAACTTTTTCGAAAATCGGTTGTCCCACAATAACTAAACAAAAATGTTCTTAATTGATTGAATGATGGCTTAAAAAATTTGTTTGGATGTCCTTCTGACCGAGTTCGAAGATGAAGGCGATAGCAATAATCGTTATTTTGATTTATTTGAAAATTTGCAAAAATTTTGTATTTTTTGAAAATCACAATTCCGGGGATACCTTTGAATATCATGCTTCAAATGAATTCAATCATAGCTTAAAATGTTTGTTTTAATGCCATTAAGTCCAAGTTAAAAGATGATTACGATAGCTATATTGGTTGATTTGATTTTTATGATGATTGTTGAAAATTTCGAATTTTTCATGAATTTCCCCGAAAGTGAGCTTTCTGATGGTTTCTTCAAATGTGATGTTTCAAATTCATTCAAGTATGTATAAATAAACTTTTTCTATTAACATTTTATCGAAGGGCTGAGGGGAGAGATAGAACCGTAAAAAATACAATCGGTTGTACAGAAGAAAGGGATAATAAGAATAATGATGATGATAACATTCAACTAAGTTGAAAATCTGACAAAATTAGTTGAAAAGAAATCTTATTCAATTTAATAAAACGAAATAAACAATGAATTATACATGATAGAAGGAAATTATGTGCTAAATAACCATTCGCAAGCAAATTGCTAATTTATTAGCAAAAATAACTATACTGTATGCAACACAAGAGCAATTTCCCACTTGTTTCTAGATTTTAATCTCCTCCGTAACCTTGAAAGGTTCATTATCTTATAAGACTGTCGTTTTTGCACTTCTAAATTAATTGTTATCAATAATACTAGACTGCCCCTGGACCACGAACTCAACCAGAATGTTTCTATTCATTTGAATGTTCTCCGAATTCACTCCAGATTGGAGTCGTTAAAAATCAAGTTATGCTTACCCAACTTCAATGACAAAACTAAATCATGGGAACTCGAATAGAACCTGAGGATCACAACAAGAAATGGATGGGTTGAGCCGATTATTCTTTGAACAATGGCATCAGCTGACATCTTGTTCCCTCGGGTGCAACCGAACACTCGTGATGACTCACATTTACCCTCCCAACAAGATTATTTCCTCCATTTTTTTAAAACACCGAAGTCTCGAAGCAACAAAAAAATCATCAAAAAAATCTCCCGAAGTGGAGAATAAATTCCACAATGACGGGAAAATGATGGGATAATGGAGCGGCCCGAGGGAATTCTATTGGTGCAGCAAAAAAAATTCCGGAGCAATTTTCCGTTGTCGGAAAAGTCATCGTGAAGAGGGAAAATTCAGTCTTTCGGAGTTTATCAGTGGAAAATTATGATGCAGTGATTCAATTAATTTGGAAGGGTTTTACGAACCTTTGTGGACGTCCGGGTGTGTCAATTCCATCCAGAGATCATCTTCGGGGAGGTGATTCCGTTGGGGAAATTAAAAATTTCTCAGGCGGTGCTGGAGGGGTTGTAGAGGGGCCACGGGGCATTCACAATTTTTTATTTTGGGGTTTGCACTGGTGGGTGAGTAAATAAAATGCGAGTGGACTGGGGATTCACTGGAACTCCATTCCTGACCCTTCCAGAGAATCTAATGGGGATTTTTCGATCGATAGCGTAGGTTTCGAGGGGAATAGTGCGGCGATGAGCCGCGAGATGGCGAGAGATGGATGAATTGAGAGTGAAGTTTTTCGGGTGTTTGTGGTTTTCCGTGGGACAAGATGGAGGGTCAGAGTTGGACGAGTAAAATGCAACTGGTAATCTACGGGCTTTTGACGTGTAAAGAAGAAGTAGTTTGCCGGAGAGGTTTTAGACTTTTTTGACCGTGGGAGGAGGCGTGTCGCACGTGGAAGGGTCGAACGATGGTAAATGGAGGGAGATAGAAGGCCCTCCCATGTAGCCTCGCGAGGGTCAGAGGTTGCAAGGGTCGTACCTCGCGAGGGTCAAACAGAGGCAAACAGGACAATCGCAAAGGTCCAAGGATCATGAGGCTCAACGAGGAGAAGCAGACAGGAAAATCGCAAGGGTCAACCGATCATATATCGAGCGAAAGATATGAGAAAGCCCTCCCGTTTGACCCGTGTCCTCCTTGTCGCTCCCAGTCGACCCTTGAGAGTGTCCTGCCTGTACTCTGTCGTTTGACCCTTACGAGTTATGATCCTTGCGACGTTTGATCCTCAGATGATATGACTCTGATGACGTTTGACTCTCGCGAGGTATGACCCTTGTTACGTTTAACCCTCGCAAGGGACCCTCGTGAGCACTGATAGTTACGTCAGGGGATTTTTAATTAATTATTTACCGTTTTTTACCATCCATACGTCAAAGGGTCGAACGATCATAAATGAAGCGACATAGTTGGAAGGCTCTCCCATTTTGCCTCGCGAGGGTCAAACGTTGCAAGGGTCAGACCTCGCAAGGGTCAAACAACAGAGGCAGGCAGGCCAATCTCAAGGGTCAAACTACCACAGGGGTCAACCGGGAGAGGCAAACAGAACAATCGCAAGGGCTAATGATCATGAGGCTCAACCAGGAAAAGCAGGCAGGAAAATCGCAAGGGTCAAACGATCATATATCGAGCGAAATATATCAGAAAGCTCTCTCGTTTGACCCGTGTCCTCCTTGCCTCTCCCAGTTGACCCTTCAAATTGTCCTGCCTGTACTCTGTCGTTTGACCCTTGCGAGTTACAATCCTTGCGACGTTTAACCCTCACAAGGTATGACCCTCGTGAGCACTGATAGTTGCGTTGAGAGAGGTTTGATCAGTCATTTACTTTTTTTTACCATCCACTTTTGTTGGGAAAAAATTTAAAAACACATTATCAGGCATTTTGAGCTTAAAGGATGCGCGAGGGAATTTTCTTTTGAGGTTCGGGTTGTCTCTCGGGAAGAGAAACCAATCAAATTTGCAGGTTAATTTTTCTATCAGTGCAAAGTCGAATGAATTCCACACAGAATGACATTTTATAATTTTTAATCGACATCTTTATCGTTAAAAATATGGAAAGACGAGTCGTTTTTGCAAATTTAGAGGTTAAAGGTTTTTAAAAAATCATTGGATATCAAAATAATGTGACTTGTGCAACTCAAAAAAATGAAAATCTATATATTTTGTAGTCAATAGCCCTCCGGTATAAACAAGGCTCCTCTCTCCCTCTAAATTTCATTGTTCGAATCAAGACAAAATGGCGACCAGCCTCCACAAAATGGCCGACAATTCCATGCAGACACTTCTCTTACTTCTCCCCTCTCGTTGTCTCGAACCATAAAGCGAGCGAGGGGTTCGTGCAGAGCTGAAGGGAGGGGAGGGGGAGACTCCTCTGCGTCGCTACCTTTCCCGTCCCCTCGGCCCCCACCACCGCCGCCCTCGCCATTATGACAATCCATCGAACAGCAGTCGCCCGTCGGTCGCGGTGACATAAGTCTCGTATTCGTGAGTGTTTTTACGTTCCAATCGTCAAACTCATCAGCATTTCCTTGTTTTACTCAAGTAATTGTCGTGTGATGAACATAATAAATAACAGATATGACCATGAACACTAGTTATTGACGCCATTGGACCCGAAAATGTGAGAAAAATCGAGTAAAATTATGTTTTTTTCGGTTTTTAATTTTTTTGGCGGAAAAAATTGCTGAAAAACCTGTTTTTAAATTTTTTGTTAATAATCCTAAGTTTTTGCGGTGAATAAAAAAATATTGAGTGATTCCAGTGGTGATTTATCAACAATTGGTCGAAAATCTGTGAAATCCTTTGTTTAGTTTTTGTTTTTTTGGTTAAAAAGTGTAAAAATCCTTTTTTTTCCGTTAAAAAATCAATTTTCAAGCAACAATTGGACTTCTGGAGTGAAAAAAAACACCGAGTGATTTAATTCTTTCGTTTTATCGTCATTTTTTTTTAGTTTTCTGGTGGAAAATCGTTTTTCTGATATAAAAACAATTCAAGTGTTTTGATCCTGAGTTTTTCTGCGGAGGCGTCGGCCTATGGAGCATTACCTTCCCCTGTAGAAGGTAAGATTTAATGAAAATTACCATAAATAACGCATGAGAGCACTGAGTTATGCATCTCAGCGTTTAACGGCAGATGAATTTCACTGCTTTATGCCTTCATTTGTATTTTAATTCATAACGAAACAATGGAGCAGGGGAAAAAAAATTCATAACAGACGCGTTATACATGTGTTTACGATTGTGTTTATTATGTAATAGAGTGATACTGAGATTTTTATCGGTTGGGAATTTAGGGGTCACGGATTATCACAGTGATTACGTATTTTTCATCTCTTTTTAATTATTGATTTTCAGGGGTTTAGTTTGTCAAGGGAAAAAAATTCAATCATTAATTTTTTCTTTCACTTTTGTAATTATTTTTAATGAGTTTTTTATGCAGGAATTAATGAACTCTGGTTGAAGTTTTGGGTTAAGAACGTGCGGGGGGAATAAATAGAGGAATGGGAAAAAATTTTTCATTAGATGGAATTTTATTCCATGTTTTTTATTCTATTTATTTATTCGAGGCTTCAGGCAGACAAAAAAAAATTTTTCAGTATTGTTAAATGTCTCGGGAGAGGGAAGGGATCAAGAGACGAATTTTTTTTTTTATTTAGAGGATAAAATTTCCGATTTCAACCACTGGTTTTGAACCCATTTTGCCCCATTATTCTTAATAAACCAATGAAAAAACAGTTTTGACGCTTCGAAGCGTTTTTTTGGGGATTTTTAATTAACAGATGGGGCAAAATGGGTTCAAAACCAGTGGTTGTGATTGGAAATTTCCGTGGCTATGACATGACAAGATTTTTATGTCTAAATCATACCTTTCACTCAGAAGAATGATTTTTTTTTTAATTATGAATGAAAAACAATATTTTTTCTTGGAAATCTCGCCATTAGGGAGGGGTGGAAGGATGAACATTGTCTCATTTCATGGATAAAAAAATTGTCGATTTCAACCAATGGTTTTGAACTCATTTTGCCCCATTATTCTTAATAAACCAATGAAAAAACCGTTTTGACGCTCCGAAGCGTTTTTTGGGGATTTTTAATTAACAGATGGGGCAAAATGGGTTCAAAATACTGGTTGTGATTGGAAATTTCCGTGGCTGTGATATAAAAAGATTTTTATGTCTAAATCATTCCTATTATTCACAAAAATGATTGTTTTTTTTGAAAATTATGAATTAAAAACAAATTTATTTCATTTTTTTCTCGTTTTTCTTGGAAATCTCGACAATGGGGAAGGGGGGAAGGGTGGAAGGATGAATATTATCTCATTACATGGATGAAGAAATTCTCGATTCCAACCTCTAATTTTGAACCCATTTTACCCCATAATTAATTCAAACACAATGCAAAACCCGTTTCGACATTTCAAAACGTTTTTTGCTGGATTTTCATGAACCAATGGAGGCAAAATGGGCTCAAAATGAGGGGTTGAAATCAGTAATTTTCTCGGACATGTAATGAGACTATTTTTATATTTCCACGACGTGGAATCAATTTAGTGGTTTCGGGATGAGTTATGATTGAGCCCTGATGGAAGAATTCCGCTGTCTGTTGTTGTTCACGGGCTGCAAACTCGTCCACCTGAGGAAGCTCAATTCCCTGTGTCGATTAATTTCGTCCTCTTCGAGGCGATTTAATAGCAATGGTCCTGATACCATCATAATAATAGCACCCAGTGGCGCCAGAAAGACAATGGCCACAACTGATATACGTACGACGTCCATGGCCAGGGATATTTCATTTTCATCGTCTGTAAGACGAGCCTCTTCGAGTGCCATTGGCGCAAGTGCTGCCTGGATAAACAAAAACAGATGATGAGGCCAGGAATAACATGAAACTTCTTGATAAGAGATTTGTAGTGAAGAAAAAACATGAGGGGAGAAAAAAAGCAATGGAGGCGGGGATTTCATATATTAAGGGAATGTCGGCTACCGACGTTGGGCCAATGTTGGCTACCAACGTTGGGACAATGTTGGTTGCCAACTTTGGGTTAATGTTGGTTATTACCGTTGGGACAAGGTTGACTGCCAACATTGGGACAATGTTGGTTGCCAACGTTGGGACAATGTTGGCTGCCAACGTTAAGAGAATGTTGGCCACAGACGTCGGATCAATATTGGCTACCAACGTTGGGGCAATATCGGCTGCCAACGTTAACGGAATGTTTGCTACGGGCGTTGGGGCGATGTTGGCAGACAACGTTGGGACAATGTTGGTTGCCAACGTTGGGTTTCTGTTGACTGCCAACGTTGGGACAATGTTGGCTGCCAACGTTATGAGAATATTGACCACAGACGTCAGGTCAATATTGGCTACCAACGTTGGAGCGATGTCGGCTGCCAACGTTAAGGGAATGTTTGCTACAGACGTTGGGGCAATGTTGGCAGCCAACGTTGGGACAATGTCGGCTGCCAACGTTAAGGGAATGTCTGCTACAGACGTTGGGGCAATGTTGGCAGCCAACGTTGGGACAATGTCGGCTGCCAACGTTAAGGGAATGTTTGCTACAGCCGTTGGGGCGATGTTGGCAGCCAACGTTGGGGTAATGTTAGCTGCCAACGTTAAGAGAATGTTAGCCACAGACGTCGGGTCAATGTTGGCTACCAACGTTGCGCCAATGTTGGCTGCCAACGTTGGGCCAATGTTGGCTACCAACGTTTGGGGAAATGTTGGCTATCAACGTTGGGTAAATGTTGGCTCTCAAAAAAAAATCTGTCGATATTTCTCCTAAACCCTCTCATCATCAAAATATCAAACCAAAAAATCCCTCAGTTTTTCTCTAAATTCCCCCGTCAAACAAAAATCCCAAACACTTGTCAACAAATTAATTAGACAGACAGAAAACATCGAGCAATCACGGGAGCCCAATTGATCAGCATCATCAAACATTTGCATGCACCCAGAATTTATTCAGACCGAATTTAATTAAAAATTAACCACAATGTCTGGAAATTGATTTGATTTTCATCAACTCTTCAATTAAAATCCATCCATCCGATGGAAAGTTTAATTTCAAACTAGTCTCTTCCAACTGTACTTTACTCTATGCCCAATTTGCCCCATTATTCACTCCAAAAACGTCTCGTCCCTCGTGTCCGCCCGACTCACGGGGCAAAATGGGCTCGAAATCAGGGTTTCGAACCGGAAATATCCCCAGCTATCAAATGAAATTCAACCCTGCCCCCTCCCCCACACACACCCCCTACTCCTTGTTTTTTCAGTCAGCCCCGGTTGATTGCATTCAAACGATTTGCGTTAATTTTCCTTTGATCTTTAGTTTTAAAATTGCCAGAATTACTCGTAATTCAATGAATACTAAAATCCCACTGCTATCGATTTCTTTATGAACCTCATGGCATTGAAGTTTTATGCAAAAAATACACAAGACCGAGGGGGTAAATAATAATCATAAAATAAACTGGGACAAGCGACCGATAAATCAATGGACCAATAACCGTGAAAGCTTGTACTGCATTATAAAATTTTTAATTAACATTTTTTTTTCTCATTTCAACAGCGAAATTAGTGTTCTACAGTGAAACAAAAAAAAATTGTTTGACCCGATTTCCGCGGGAATAAACTCAATTAGACTCGGAAATAACAAGGAAATTGTCCAAAAAAAGGCAAATGGAAAATTTCATATCCAATCGTTCCAGTTTTTTGCTGATTCCACCGGAGTGATGAAAGCCAGGGGAATGAGAATAGACTCATTAAATAGGCTGAAAAATTTCCAATTCCAAACCCTGGTCATGAATCCATTTTGCCCCACTAGTTGTTTTTACAGCCTCAAAAAAACTTTGTCGTTGTCAAAGTGGTTTTTATGTCACGTAGGAATAAGTTACGGGGCAAAATGGGTCCAAAATCAGGGGTTGAAATCGGAAATTTTTTCGGCAGTCGGATGAAACCATTTTTAATGACGTATCATCTCAGTTTGTCGAGAAAACCCCGTTTGTATGGAGGGTTGAGGGTTTCTAGTGTTTAAAGTTATCTTTTCAAACGAATGTTTAAATAAATTACTTGAAGTGTGCCTTTCGGTAACCAAGCAAATGCCACAAAAACTCGTTCCTTCATGGTAAAGGCGGTGCGATAGGTCGTCAGAATGGCGAAAGCACTTCTAGCCTGGAGCAGAGAATTTTAAAAAAGTCGATAAAACATAAATATGAAACATCAACATTGGCTGAAGGCCATTGCCTCAAACTTCCCTCTTTTCCTTCATCGATTTCAGCACTTTCTACAGACGGAATTGAATGAAAATAGTATCATCAGATGGGTGGATAAATTTCCGATCTCAAACCCTAATTTTGAGCCCATTTTGCCACGGAATTAATTTCTACAGGAAGAATAAACCGTTTTGGCACCGAAAAGCGCATCTTCACGATTAATTAATGATGTATTAACAATCAACGGGTCAAAATGGCTTCATGACCAGGGTTTGGAATCGGAAATTTACCGGACCATGTGGTGAGACTATTTTCATCGATCTAGTATGGATTCCATCTGAGAAAATTCAATTTTTGGAAATTTATCGAGACTTTGTCTTCTCATTTGATCAATACCATCAGCTTAAACTTACAGCTAGACCAATGATTATGCATAGAACATGAAGGCCAAATCTCTGGGGTGACCACAGGGTAAAGTCAATCTCCGCCCCAATGATGCCAACCAACACTGGCTGCATAAAGTGCCAGAGGAAGTGGCTTACACGACGTAGTGGAGTCACGTCGAACGTTATACCTGACAGGAGTTTCCAACCCCTTGCTGCTACGAAGGACATTGATACTGTTGCTAAGTATCCACCACCAGTAACAGCGAGTTTTGAAGCACCTATGGTACACATCAGAGATCCCAGGATCAGAGACACTGCTCTGTACCACGTCACATACTTCTAAAGTTGGGGAAGATTGAGTGAATTTGAGTGATTCTTCAGGAAGAGAGTTTGGAGGTGGCAATGATCCCGGGGGGGAGCTGGGGAAGGTCTAAGTTACTAATATTTGTTGGAAGGGTACTTCACAGAGAAAAAGGTGCGCTTTTGAGGGACATACCATTGATTTTCTGAAAGCTATTACCAATAATTGACGATTCGCGATTGTGAAATTCAATTGGGGCTCGAAGTGGAAAAAAATCACAATATCTTCAATTCGAAGGGCTCGGGAGTGGAAAAAAATCACTAAAATGCGGGCAAAATTTAATACTATTCGCCTTTCTCAGTCGAAAGGGGATAGAAAAATCTGAAAGATGGCTTAAAAAATTTGTTCCTTTTATAGAAACTGACTGAAGCGAGTTGGGGGTTATCGGAAGAGGATAAATAATTTAAAGAAATGGTTGAAAACGCGAGGTGGAGGAGCCGCCATCTTTGAAGCCCTTTGGAGCGGTTGGAGGGGGCGTCCACATAAGATGGCGGCATCGACGACCTCATATTCTTTTATTATGCCAGATTCGATAGTCCTTTTTTCAATCAATTATTTATAATCATTCTCATTTCAAAAAGCAAAACTACCGATGAGAATCTACGCCCCAATTTATCAGCTGTTAAATTTTCATATTACAATAAATGACTTTTTTTTTTTTTTTTTTTTTTTTTTTTTTTTTTTTTTTTTTTTTTTTTTTTTTTTTTTTTTTTTTTTTTTTTTTTTTTTTTTTTTTTTTTTTTTTTTTTTTTTTTTTTTTTTTTTTTTTTTTTTTTTTTTTTTTTTTTTTTTTTTTTTTTTTTTTTTTTTTTTTTTTTTTTTTTTTTTTTTTTTTTTTTTTTTTTTTTTTTTTTTTTTTTTTTTTTTTTTTTTTTTTTTTTTTTTTTTTTTTTTTTTTTTTTTTTTTTTTTTTTTTTTTTTTTTTTTTTTTTTTTTTTTTTTTTTTTTTTTTTTTTTTTTTTTTTTTTTTTTTTTTTTTTTTTTTTTTTTTTTTTTTTTTTTTTTTTTTTTTTTTTTTTTTTTTTTTTTTTTTTTTTTTTTTTTTTTTTTTTTTTTTTTTTTTTTTTTTTTTTTTTTTTTTTTTTTTTTTTTTTTTTTTTTTTTTTTTTTTTTTTTTTTTTTTTTTTTTTTTTTTTTTNTAATTGATTCTTACCTTCGAAATACTGTAAATACCATCGTAACCTATATAGGCTACAGAGGAAATAGGCGTGAGTTCGAACGACAATAAAAGAGTCGCGAACCCGTCGCTAATGACCTAGCTGTCGATGCGACGTTAAGCCCCAACAAACAAACAACAATAAATGATTTGCTCAAATTCTAATTCCTACGCTCACTGAATAAGATTTCAATCATAATTACAATTAAATTCCTTCTAGAACACACTTTAGAGTGTGAATTTCTGGAATTCAATGTTTGTTGATACTCTGGTAAAAGTGCGTGCCCACACTGTTATCAATTTTTAGTTAGTTCACACGGTAATTCAATTAATCTGTTGTTCATCTCATCAATATAATTCCGTGCTTACAATATTGTCATCTCGTGTTTTCAGCAACAAATTAAAAATTAAAACTTAATCTGGAATATTGAGTCACAGCTTCTTTTTATTCATATCAGAAATTTTGTATTTGGATATTAATATTATTTGTTCAAAGTGAAAAAATCGATCATCATTTTCACTATATTGCATTCAGATTCTCCTATCCTTAACGTCAAAAATGTGAGATAATCTGATAATTCTAGCTATTCATTCTAATCAACTTTGTTCGAAGAAAACCTTAGTGAACGCAATATTAAGAAAGTTCAATTATTCCATTTTCCTCGGACCTAAATGATTTGGACAATTATGATTCGTTTATTCATGGTTCATAGTATGGTATTCAATTCTCTTTTGTTTGTTAAGCGGGCTTCATGAAAATTCGACGCAGGACGATTGCACTCATGAAAACCACCTTACTTTCTCCATTCGTTAGAGATATCCGCCATGTCCGAGTTCTCATTTTCGATTCGAGATATTACCCATGCTTTTTTTAGAAAGGATTTCCTGAAATTACTTATCCTCTTAAAAAAAAATGCCCATCGTCTCGCTCTCTTACTGGAGACAATCAAGAGAAGCCAAGATGAAATCTCCCAAAATGTTATTGTCCCCAATGTTCTCCACTCGCAGTAGATTCGCCCAGTTTCTCCACCCCCAGAATGCGAATGAGCATCTCCAAAACATCTCCAGCGACATCAGAAATTAGATGATAATTTTAACGGTTGAATGCACTCACCGTATTTCTGTGCGGTAAAAAAGCAAAAACTAATCCAAGCACCAGACCCACGGTTAAACCAAGCAGAAGATCACGTACACCACCCGGTACGTATGACCAAAAACCGTGAACATCCTTGTCTAGATAACATATTTCATGACGAAATGATTCATTGGAGGGAAAGAAAAATTTTTTAATGAGAAAAATGTCACCTGTAAAGACGAATGAGTAACAGACGGTAAAAAGTGAAACTATGTGAACATCGTCGATCGATGCTGCTGTGCAGAGGAGTGTCGCCATACCTCTGTCCTCACCGTACCCTTTGTCTGCCAGTGCTAGAATACAGTTTACCGTCACCACTGGTGACAGACAAGCGACAATTGTTCTGAAAAAAACCAAAATAACAATCAAACTCGATAGAAAAAATTCTTTTCAACAGATTTACGTTCGATGCTTCCAGTTTTTCACCGATATCTGGGGAGGGGGGAGGGGTGGGGGAGTGAAAATTGTTTCGTTGTATTTCTGGAGAAATTTCAGATTCTAAACACTGGTCATGAACCCATTTTGTCCCACAATTATTGGTGACGCAGCGGAAAAACTATTTTGCTGCTCAAAAACGTTTATTTGAGGGTTTCTGATGAATAGCGGGGCTAAATGGGTTCATAACCAGTGGATGGAATCGGTAATTTTCTCAGTGATCGAATGAGATCATTTTCGTTCTTTCGCGACTTCCGGTTCTCATGAAAATCCAGTTTGTCCGATTGAAACTTGTCAGAAGGAAATCGCCCGTAAAAAAATTTGTTGACATTTCTTTATATTCCTTGGGAGTAGTAAAATAGTTTGACAAGGAATACAGTTCACTGTCACCACTGATGACAGACAAGCGACAATTGTTATGAAAAAAATTAAAATAACAATCAAACTCGATAGAAAAAATTCTTTTCAACAGATTTACGTTCGATGCTTCCAGTTTTTCACCGATATCTGGGGAGGGGGTAGGGCCGGGGAAGTAAAAATTGTTTCGTTGTATTCCTGAAGAAATTTCCGATTCCAAACACTGGTCATGAACCCATTTTGCCCCAGAATTATTAATGACGCAGCGGAAAAACGATTTTGCTGCTCAAAAACGTTTATTTAAGGGTTTCTGATGAATAGCGGGGCAAAATAGGTTCATAACCAGTGGATGGAATCGGTAATTTTCTCAGCGATCAAATGAGATGATTTTCGTTCTTTCGCGACTTCCGGTTTTCATGAAAATCCAGTTTGTCCCCGTCTGTTGAAAGTTGTCAGAAGGAAATTGCTCGTAAAAAAATTTGTTGACGTGTTTTTGTTATTTCTTTAGAAGTAGTAAAATAGTTGGACAACTCACCCGGTAAGAAATGCCCAGTCCCAGGGATAATCCAGAATAAATTTACACGCCAATCCAACAGTAAGAAATTCAACTGTGCATGGAATAAGTGCTAGACAAAGCAAAAAATAGGGATGTTTCTGTATAGCTGTTGTCGTAAGCTGCAAGCCAGCCCGTATCATAATAAATGTCAGACATAGAGTCCGAATTTTTCCAGTTGTACGGGCTCCAATTTCCTCATGTATGTCGTAAATTCCAGTTCCACGGAAAATCATACCGGCTAGGAGCATACCAAATACAGGTGGTATATTGAGATATGGAATGTACGCGAGACTCCAGCCGAGAGCGTAGGAGGATACTATTAGCCAGAATAGTCCAAATATACTTCCACCTATGTAAAGCAATTTTTTTATCATTTTTTAATGGATTTCTCATCGATTTGCGGAGGAATTCTGATGGCGTTTTGATTTTTTTGTGATATCTCGGCAGTAACAAGAGGTGGGAAAATGAAAATGATTTAATTAAATAGCTGCGGAAATTTCCGATTCGAACCCCTGGTTTTGAACCCATTTTGCCCCGGCATTACCTCAAATATTTTAAAACCAAAATTTTGATCCCCAAAAAAATGTTCGTTGTATTACGAGAAGATATGGGGCAAAATGGGCTCAAAACCGGTGTTTGGAATTGTAAATTTTCCCAGCCAAGATGTGCTATTGGGCAGAATGGTCCAATCATACTTCTACTTATGTAAAATAATTTTTTATCACTTTTTTTATGGATTTCTCATCGATTTGCGAAGGAATTCTGATGGCATTTTGATTTTTTTGTGATATCTCGGCAGTGATAAGAGGTGGGAGAATGAAAATGATTTAATTAAATAGCTGCGGAAATTTCCGATTCGAACCTCTGGTTTTGAATCCCTTTTACCCCGTCCTTACCTCAAATATTTTAAGGCCCGGGTGTACTATCTTTCGAACGTTATCTCGATGTTTTTTTTCATCTTTCGTCATCTGAAATTGTCAATTGAGTCCGGCATCATGCAGAAGTTTTGAAAAATTATGAATGAATAATCAAAAAAAAGTAGAAAAAATTCTTAATTTTTTCAAAGAGCATTTTTAATTTATATTCAGAATAAATTGAATAACAAGAAATTGAAAAATGTATCTGATTTACGGTGACAAGTAGCGGCCTGTCACCCAATATCATGTAGGGGGAAGACTGATTTCGTAAATCTTTTCCCACACTGCACAGAGGCATTTATTACGGAAAAGGCTCTTTGAAAAAAGTTGTAATATTTTGGAGAATTTTTTAATCACACTTTTATCACATAAAAATGGCAGACGACTACATACCACTGTTTTGAAAATTGAGATACCTAGCTGTCACTTCCCATGAGGAGTTGGTGTTTTGTTTTCCACCATGGAAAATGACAGCTAATAGATAATTTGCCACAGCAAATCAGATATTTGTAATTTCCACTTTTTTCAACTCATTCAGAATCTCATTTAAACCGCCTCTTTGAAAAAGTTCAGAATTTTTTCTATTTTTTTTTATCATTCTATCATAATTTTTGGGAATTTCTACATGATGTACCACTCAATTGACAATTTTGGATTACGAAAGATAAAAAAAATCCAGATAACATTCGAAAGATAGTACACCCGGGCCTTGAAACCAAAATTTTGGTCCCCAAAAAAAATTTTCGTTTTATTACGAGAAGACATGGGGAAAAATGGGTTCAAAACCAGTATTTAGAATCGAAAATTTCCTCGGTAATCTGATGAGATAATTTCCATTCATCTACTACTTCTGGTTTTGAGAAAATAAAAAAAAAACTAATTGTCCAATTGTCTCCGATTCTCAACCATTGGTTTTTCAATTATAAAATCAATTATTGTGTCACGTAATCGATACAAAGTCGGATTGAACTGATAAAGATTGATAATACCTGGTGCCATAGGTGGTCCAATGAGAACATACAATGTCCCAAAGGCAACTGTCAATATTGACAGGCAAGTTAATAGCCATAGGATGCTTGACCACGTGATTGCCTCACCGAGGCACGATGAGATTGCATGGTTTACCGGTATGTTGCGGATTACTGGGTGACAGAAAATTGCCCTGCCGCAGCATGTTTCGTCCGAGCCATTGCCCTCGTTTCTGTTTCAACAAAAATCGACAAGAGAAGTCAGACAATCTGGGATTATGCCCAATCCCCCACTCTCGTTCATTGTGCACCACTCCGATCAGTCTCAGCGTGTAGACGGGGAAATTTACGATGGAAAACACGGGCTGACGATCAAAATGCTATTTTTCCCTAGATGCATTTTTCCCCTAGATGTTTTTCCACCCTAGATCACGGCATCCTTATTGATTATGGCGGAGCTAGGGAAATTGAGTTGAAAACATCGGCTGAAAATAAAAATGGACTTTTCCCCTAGACAGATTTTTCCCCTAGATGTTGTTTCACCCTAGATGACGTCATTCTCATTGGTTATGACGTAGCTAGGGAATCAACTTGAAAACGCGGGATGAAGATGAAGATGTAATTTTTTCCCTTAGACAATTTTTTTCCCTCGATGTGTTTACACTCTAGATCATATTATTCTGATGAAATTTTCAATTATCGTGTAGGAAAATTTCCTAGACAGATTTTTCTCCTAGAAAGATTTTTCGCCTAGATGTTGTTTCACCCTAGATGACGTAATTCTCATTGGTTATGACGTAGCTAGGGGAATTAACTTGAAAACACTGGATGAAGATGTAATTTTTTCCCCTAGACATTTTTTTCCCTAGATGTGTTTATACTCTAGACCATATTATTCTGATGAACTTTTTAATTATCGTGTAGGGAAATTTCCACTGAAAAAACCCTAAGCATCAAAATGCAATTTTCCCCTAGATTATTTTTCTTTGTAAACGCGATTTCACCCTAGGTCGAACTGTCTGCATTGACTCCTTGATTATTATGTGGCTAAGGAAATTGCTGAAGAAAAGTTACAATTTTTTTCCAAACCCATTTTTTCTAGATACACTGTTTCCCTAGACGTATTTTCACCCTAGACGACATGACCTATTTCATTGATTATGATTACTTGGTCAGGAAAATGTTCGTTGAAAAATACCGGCTAATTATCAAAGCATACTTTTCTCCTAGATGCAATTTCTCACTAGATACTTTTTCCCTAGACGTATTTTTACCCCAGATCCCATCATTTTCATCACTTTTTTCTTTTCAGCCATGATAAACCTATGATAATATCCACCAAAAACCATTAATTTGTGCAGAATTCCCCTAGCCACCTTAAACCCCAATTTCTCCCTAGATCACATTCTCCTGTCTAACTCCTCATCCGTCAAAGCTAATGACCTGGTCAGTCTATGTTTTCAGCCTCGTTTTCCTGATCTATCTAATCGGATCGAGCCCACCCTTGTCACTCTAAAATGTCTCCTAGATACACTTTCTCCTTAGACGCATTTTCTCCCTAGACGTATTTTCACCCTAGATCCCGTGATCTTCACCAACTGTTCTTTTCAAGCATGGTAAACCTATGGTAATACCCACCAAAACCCATCAATCTCTGTAGAATTCCCCAAACCTCAATTTTCCCCTAGATCTTGTTCTCCCGCTTTACTCCTCACCCACCAGGGCTAATGACCTCGTCAGACCATGTTTTTAGCCTCACTTTTTCCAATCTATCCAATGAGCCTACTCCCGTCCCTTTAAAATTTCCCCTAGATACACTTTTTCCCTACACGCATTTTCTCTCTAGATTCCATCATTTACGCCAACTGTTTTCTTCAACTATGATGAACCTATGGTAATACCCACCAAAAACTATCCATCTCCAGAGAATTCCCCTAGCCACCCCAAAACCCCAATTTTCCCCTAGATCTCATTCTCCCCTCTAACTCCTGACCCATCAAAGCTAATGACCTCGTCAGCCTATGTTTTCAGCCTAATTTTTCCCGATCTATCGAATGAGCTCACCCCCGCCCCCCTCCCTCCCTTTTCAAATTTCACAAAAAATTTAAAAATTATTCAAAAACCATAAAATTCTTGATTACTGATCATTTTCCGCCTGTACATGAGCCATAGCACCATCAGAATCTTCTCACGTACTCTTCAGCTCTTCACAACACTAGTCACATCCTCGTTCATCACAATATACCATGACAAGTCCCTAGATGTCCCTCAGAATCGCTGACACGTGACCCAAAACATTCCAACCACTTTTATTTACTATTTCTAGATCCACAAGAGCAAGTAATACAATCGGACAGGCCTATCCCACAGTACCTCTTGATCCTCCTTGTTTTATCCTCTCGCCATCGTCCGAAATATCGACAGACAAAGCCGTTTCCTAACCTCAAAAAGCAAAAAAATACTAGGGAAAATTTCTCCCTATTTACCCCGATGATTGACTTTTACCCCTTAAACAACATCTGAAAAGCAAGTCTGGACCTCACGTTTTATTTACCAATACAGACGAGTGGATATCACGAGTAAAACAACAAACATCAGAGAACTCGAGTCCTTCAACCAGAAAAAAATATATAAGTAGAAATAAAAAGTTGAGTAAGAACTTTCATCTCTTTATCCGGCGGAGATTCTTTTGTTTCTTCTCATCTATTTTCAGTTTTTTTTTCCGAGATATTTTCACTTTTATCTAGAGGGCTTTTATTTCTTTTTGAGTATCAAAGGCTAGATCAGAGGGGAATTTGATACGAATGGAGAGCGAAAAGGATAAATCGTGTTTCTGGTTTTGATTACTTTGATAAGGACGTGGAATAGGGAATGTCTCGGGTTTACGACGACGGGCGGGGGTGGGGGTGGATAGGTGGAGAAATTTACGGTTCAAAACACTGGTTATGAAACCATTTTGCCCCGCGACTGTGTGCAACATGTGAAAACAATGGTTTTGGGGGAAAATTTTTTATTTTGATTTTTGATTTTGAATGACGTTGCGAGGCGATGCTAATTATTGATTATTGTTCTTGCGAGATTTTCATGTATGTATGTATCATGTGATGCTGCACGATATCGATATTATGCCTCCGCTGCGATTAATTTTGGTTTTAACACATTCTTGAAACTGAAATAGTATATTTCGTAACGAGTGCAAAATAGTTATTTTCATCACAAGGTCCACAAAGCCACATTCGTCAGAAAATACTTTTGGACCGTGTGATGAATGCAATTTTTCGTCAGAAGGCCCGTAAACCGCGATCAAACCGAGCGAAGCGAGGTTAGAATCGCGGTTTACCGGGTCTTCTCACGAAAAAGTGTTTTTTGGCGAGTGGGAGGTTTATATCACGAGCCGACGGCGAGTGATATAATCCCACGAGCTAAAAAACATTTTTTCACGAGTTACGAACAATATTTTTCATCACAATGTGGCGGAGCGTGCCGAAAAGTTCACTTTTCGTCACAGCGTGATGAAAATGTCACTTTTGCTATTATTATTGTTGTTTTTTACTTTTTTCTTGATATTCTCTTGTGATTTCGAGAGATTATTCATATGAATTGCGAGATGATGATGTTAATCATCGATTATTGATGTTGCGAGGTATTTCGGGAAATAGTCGCATGTATTGCGAGATGATGATGCTAATTATTGTTTATTGTTATTGCGAGATTTTCATGTATATCATGTGATACCGCATGATCATGCTGCACGATATTTCTGGGAGATTTTTTGAGAGACTTTCTATTAATGTTGGCGAGCAATGATTCATTTCATTTTTTTTTTTTCACGGCCTTGGAGTCCCTTTTTCGGGTCCCATTCGGCACTCTATCCAACCCTATGCATGCGGCTGTGGATTCTACACTGTACCGCATTCGCACTTCTATAGAACATAGAAGTAGCATGGGGAAACCACAGAAAACCCATGCCGGTACAGGCGGTTCCTCTATTAGCAACCTCCCGCTCGCCGGAGCCTTCCGTTGAAAAATTCGGTTCCACGGGGAATCGAACTCACAACCTTTCGCACACTAGACTTGCGTCTAATCCACTCGGCCACCGACGTCGGTTCTTTTGATTTTTGAGTTTTTCTTTGCTTATTAATTTTTGTGAAATTACTTGACGAATGAACTTGATGATTTTTACGCTTCTGTTGTGAGAGTATCTCAGTGTTCTCTCAGGGATTATACATATATTTATACATGTTTGTGTCTCATGTTCTGTATTGTTTTGTGACTTCGATGGGCACTTCTGCCTGAAGCTCTCAATAATAAATTGGAATTGGAAACAAATTGTCGAAGTGAAAACTTCAGGCTGGAACTTAGGAACTAGTGGGGCTAAATGAGCTCGAGACTAGTGTTTTGTGAAGATTGTGTAAATCTCCGTTTGTCATCAGGACAACATTAGATATTGCGCCTCTGCTGCGATTAATTTTGTGTTTAATACATTCATGAAAATGCGAAAATGGTACTTTTGCTATTATTAATGTTGTGAGGCATTTCTAAAAATGGTCACGTATATTACGAGATGTTGATGCCAATTCTTCTAGGCATTGTGTCTTATTTCTGCCCGAAGCCCCCAATAAAACCGACAAATTCAATCCTGATTGATGCATCTTTGTTATCAATCTCCCTAAAATCAATTCTGCATTCGAAATCAGAAGGTATAACCACCGAAAATTCCCTCAGTTTGATCCTGGGGTCTGATTTCATCCCTCTTACTCTCTCCCTTTGCGCCGACGCCACTTTCACCCGGCAATTCCTTTCTCCCTCTCCCTCCCTCCTTCTCTCTCTCATCCTCTTCCTCTTCCTCTGCATGTCCCCGGCGTCATCCCCGTTTCCTTCTAGTCCTGTCGAGACTACCGGCGATTACACGTCGATGTAAAACCCAGGGCAACCGGAATCGTACGCGGAAGAGGGAGACCGAGAGAATTAAATAAATTGAGGGCGATTCCCGTTTTTTAAAAAATTATTTTCATCGGTTGAGTTCCGGCGCTCGTCTTCGGTTGCATAAACCCCACGGCGTCTTCGCATGGGGGTAATTTCAGGGAATTATCGGACAGAAGGGGGAGGGCAATAACGTCACCTGCTAGACTCTCGTGACGCACCTGTCGACATTGAATTTTTTTCAAACTTTTTGTTCACGCGCTCCCACGGGGATATTTAATTCAGGAATTCGCGGACGTGTGGGATTGTTATTGTTTATGAACTTGTGAGGTATTGATTCCTCATCTTTTTTTTTTGAGTGGGTGGTGTGTGATGGATTGAGTCGTGGAATAAAGTCGAAGGGAGAGAATTTTTTTACAGGTAAAATACTTTTTTGTCATTTTTACGAATTTTCATCTTTTCGATTTTTTTTTAATATTCCAAAAGTACTGGGGGATGGCAGAATGAAAATGTTA